TTACACACCTGCACGCACAGCTGTGCCCCCGATGGCGGGGAGGTGGCGCACTGTTAGCGGATTAGGCTAATGGCGGGGGTTAATGTTTCCCGTAATGACATTAGCGAGTATCACGCCGCGTGGGAGGGAGTCGGCCCGCTCTCCCAGCATGCCGTTAAACTCGGAGACCTTCAGGAGACTCAGCCGGGTCTCTGTCTACGTTTTTAATTAAATTACCACGGAAAGACAATGGAAGAAACAGCCCACGGCCGCTGTCACCTGAAAGGGCTGATTCTTTGAGAGAGAGAGACAGCGTGTGTGTACTTACGGGACTCTCTCATTAATTACCTTTCCTAATGAAAGGTGGCTGCTGTCTGTTTGTCATTAGATGTCATGTGAGTGTAGTCAGGGTGGAGCAAACGGCCGCGTCTGCGTTTTTAATTAAATCCGCAGATGAAAGGCGCTGCTGCCGCCACAATGGGCCGATTCTTCCAGCCGACGCATCTGAGCATAAGATTGAGCTCCAGAGCTCTAAAACACCCCTAACCACGCCCTCACCCCAACATAATCAGAAATTAACAATTACTTAATTTATGAGACAGTTTCATCTAAAGTAACGTAGAATCGAGAAAGCAGGGACAGTAGCTTGGGGTGAAGGGCCTTTTCCGGGAACCAAAAATCACACAGCCGACTCCGGGACTCGAATCAGCAACCTTCCGATCACAGGCACAATGTCTGAAGCCACAGGGCCACACCCCTCTCCAGGGGGCAGGTCAGGCTGTAAATCAGGGGTGTCTATCACCTCTGGGGGGAGTCGATAGAGCAGCTGATGGGTGGTCTGTAGGTCTGTAGGGCATTTCATAAATTGGAGAGATGCTGGTGTTTCAGGTAGGTCTACATCAACAAAAATAAATACGACTCCCACCCCACTTCAAGTGAAAAATACTGAGGGAGGACCCCCCCGCAGAGAGGGGAATATGAATGCGGTCCAGCTCCTTACTTCTTAGGTACTAATGTGATCACACAGTGGTGGTGGGGGTCCCTGGCTCTGCTTTCATCTCAGTGTCTCGGCTGTAAATAATGAACCACCATCCTTCCCAGATATTTAGCCAGACACCCCCCCTCCCCCCCAACCCCCCACCGGCCAATGCAGGACTTGTCTTCTCCCCCAAAAAAACCTCAGAACATTTAGCCCAGTCTGCTGGAAGAGCGGGAAAAAACATCAGCCATTAAAAATAAGGGAGGTATAAAAGCGACGTGAGATCACAGCAGGAATCGATCAAAGCCGTTTAAAAACACGTTCTAATAGGATCCTGGCTTCGTCTTGCTGCGCCCTGTTCCTAAAATTTAACGGAACGAGGTTTCTTCAAATCCCGGCCATTTCCCTCCCATTCCGATCTTTTTTCCCCATCGAGGTTTAAACTATTTTAACAGCTCCCCCCCACTACCCAAGCGGACCGCAGAACTGGACGCTTTTCCACTGATCTCGTAAAATGGCGAGGTGGTAGTGGGAAAGGGGGGGGGTGGGTGGGAGTGAGCTTACTTCTCATTACGACAGGGAGCGAAAAACCAGAAGTCTCCAGCTTCAGGCTCCGCCCCCCCAACCCAACCAATCCTCTTTGGGACCCGGTGTGACGTCTCGCACCCAGGACGGCGGGACGGACCTGGGGACCACACGGCAGCATGTGGATCGAGGAGGATGACCCAGTGGGCGGGAGCCGGCTCCGCTTACACTAACTTACGGGACGGGCAGATCCCCCACGCAAACGATCTGGGAGTATTCCCAGGATAACGTACAGCCTCGGGAGGCTACCAACACGTTAGTACGTGATTTTATTGGAAATACGGTGTGATATAAGGTGTACATCGTACAGGCTTGTATATTCTGACTGGGACCTGCCGTTGATGATTCATAAGTGTTTAGGACCAGACCGAGTACATCTCCCATCATACCACCACCAGGGGGAGCCACTACCCCCACTCATTCTGGGGAGGCTGCCTGACAAACCTTTCCACATCAAGGGTTATCAATGCTGTTCCGGCCATGAGCCTCCCACAGAGAGCTTTGATCGCACGTCCGGACTGGGCCCCCTTCCCGGTCGCCCAGGCAGACGCACATCCAGGTAAGCAGTTGGCACGGACATGCGGTTTTGAGACAGATGCTGGCCGGGCCTGTCGCTCTCTGCTTGCCACTCCCGTCGCGCCATAAGTATTTTGGTCATTTCCGTAAACATCTACAGACACAGTGTCCAACTACTCCAAAAAAATAGACAGCAATATATGAAATTTGGCTGGTTATCCAGGTTCAAATCTGTCCCGTGAAGAAAAATCATTCATCCCAGCAGGTGGCAGGCTGGCACACGTCCTGCTCTCCAGCTGCCCGGGCTGGCATTTACGCTGGGGGCAAGTTCGGGGGGCGAGGCGGTTCAGCATGACGCATCGTTCCACATCAAGGACAGAAAGATTTAGCCGAGAACAAAAACCGAAGGACCTCAAATGGTATTAATGACAGCTTTATGCTTGAACGTCATGGCATGGATAACTGTCACATTTATTTATTGCTTTTATCCTGTGAAAGGCATTGACGTCTCTGGTTCCGCATACCAGCCCGCACACATGTATTTTGGAGAAATTCTGCGGAATCGGGTAATCCTGGACACAGGTCAACGTGGCCGAGGGCTAATACCAAGCCCACACTCTGCCAAAGAGCTGGAACTAATTAATGACATGTCATTCTTTGGCAGCCGCTAGAAAGGAGTCCACGCAAGTAAGAAAAAACCTCTGGAAAGCCGCTGGCGGTTAATGCGAAAACCCTTCGTTGACGTAGCCTCTCTTAACGAGCTTGGTAATTTGCGGCTCGCTTTGCCAGCTGCCCCGGTTCCCCCCAAAGCGACCTCGTGGCCAGTCGTCCCATCATGTGGATCGATTCGCTGTGCCGCCCGCTTCCCACAGATCTACCAGTCACCTGATCTGCGTCCAGACATCGGCATGGTAGCTGCAGAACTGCTCTGGGCTACGTAACACCCCCCGAGAGCCCCCGGATGCCGTCCCTGACCACGGTGCTCGCCAAAGCCGGGTTCTGTTTATAACTCCAGTAAAGGAGTTCCTTGTCTTGATATTGTGTAAGAGTCTCGGTTTTGATGAGGAGGGGGCAGGTCAGAAACACAGCCTGCGGGATGATGATGAGGGATTTTGCGGCGTAAACGTCTCTGTACAACTTGGCTGGCTCAATAAAGGCCCGGGCTGAAGAGCAGAAAGTGCGGCCGAACTGGGCCGAGCACTGGGACCAGCTGCTCCATCCATCTCCTCACTGAGGGCTCGCTGCACCACCTGTAACATATATTTACTGGTATCTTCACCTTTACGTGCTCCAGTGCCGAGTTCCGTCCGTTAGGCTCAGACTACCCCCCCAAAATGTCGCCAAAGCTGGAGAAGGAGTGTTTGTCGTCCCGAGGACTTCCTGCGGCAGCCCAGGCTGACCGACCTTTCAATAGGAAAGGTCAGCCCCTCCGTCATTTTCTTCCCTTTTTATAACCTCCCCCACTTCCACTTGCTCAAGTAACAGGCCTGTCCTGCAATTACATCATGTCTGGTTTCCCCTGGCAACCAGACAGCCACGGACATCAGCGCCACAGGCCACGCCCGGGATGAGCCCTCTGGGTCTCCGTCTCCTCTTTCCTGAGTAGCTCCCGGGGTAAAGAGATCCAGCAGCAGTTTGACATCGCCGAGAGTTTCCTGTGACTCGGCGCTCATCTCTTGGCTTCGACGTGACTCGATGTGAGCGCGCGCTCCCATAAGCGGAGACGCCGGTCTCAGTTTCCCTCTGAAATCGCAGAATTCCCTACAACAGCCTCTTCCTGACCCTGAGCCTTGGCACTGTGATGGCTCTGCCCTGGTCTACAGAGACAACCTGTCTCAACTCTGCAGGCCAACACCAGACAGCAAGTCAAAGACAGCATGAAACCTTGGGTAGAGTCCATGCCAAGGCAGCCCCAAGGCTCTGGAGTGAGCTTCTGGGTAGGATCGATGGCATCTGGGCAGCACTGTGTCTCAGGTTACGATTCCAGTACAACTAACAAGACGTTCATAACATTGAGCGGCAGGTTGAAGAATGTTGGACCTTAAATATGACATGTTCTCTGAATTCCTGCAGTATATCAACTGATAAATAGCACAGAATATAGAGGGTTGAGTCATTTGTTTAGGGTCAGGCCGCTAAGCAACAGTGGTGTTTCAGGAGAGCATGTGCGTGCAAGAGTCTGAAAGAGGGATGCAGGCCAAACACAGCAAGGTGGGTCCTACAGACCATCGAACACACACACACACACGCACACACGCACACAGACACATACACACACACACAGGTTTGTAATTATATCTTTGTGGGGACTATCCATTCATCCCTATGGGAAAAACTCAAATCATAACATGACGACCTTAACACCTACCCAGCCCTAACCTTAACCTTTAGTAACCAAATAAAATACGATACTTTTGACATTTTATGCTTTTTTGACCGCATTCACAGATCTTTGTGGGGACCGAAAAATGGTCCCCACATTGTCAAAAAAAAAAACTGGTCCCCACAAAGTAATATAAACCTAATCCACACACACACACACACCAATCCAGACATTTCTTACTTGTGCCTGATAGAGTCCACCAGAGTCCCGAGCTCCGATACCTACAAAGGAACGGTTGGAAGGGGGCGTCCCGGGGGCTGAGTAGGCTGTGATGAAGGGAGAGATCGAAAGACAGAAAGAGAGAGAGACAGAGAGCGAGAGCATAAACACCCACACGTCAAACCTGCATGACAGTCCAGCTGCAGTTCGGCCAGGATGACACTATGCTAGTGGATACCATCCAGCTTCCTCATCATTTAATCACCCGCACCCTCCCTCGGCCCGTTTCCCTTGACGGAACCGGGCTCCTTTTCCGACAAGGCCGGCTCTGCTTTGTGTCCGGGGCCCCCAGGCGCCCCTGCCGGGCCTCTCCGTCGGTAAGCTTCGGCGTCAAAAACAAAAAGCGCTCTTCTTCTGTCCGGTCGGGATGTGCCCAGCTTTCTGAGGTACTGCAGCAAGAGGGTAACGAGTCCAAAAAGACTAACTAGCGCCGGTTACTGAAGAGCAGGGGCCTGGAATTAATCAAGCAGCTGTCTGGAAAGAAGCAGCCCCCCCATCCGGGACAGGTCGCCCGTGCCAAGCGGCCAATCAGCTTTTGCTTTTCAAGGCCGATGTTCCCGGGGATTTGTTATCATGGATAATTAAGAGCGTCTGGATCAAAGGCGCATATCAGACACTCGTCTCAACCGAATCGGGGTGGGGGGGGTGGTGTTTTTAGAATCACAGAGCCGCCTGCCAGGTCCGGAAGCCCCACGGCCGAAGGGACTCTAGAATCACGTTAGCACAGAGCTTTGTCACGTTGTCATGGTGACCCAGGAACGTGTCGAATGTTGATCGGTGGGGATAGCAGAGCCGGGTAATTAAGGGAACATACATCAGGCACGTTTCACGGTGCGCTGTTTCACTGGTTCCACTCGCAATTAGCAGGGTAACGTGATCTTTACAGCCGTCAGTGGTCACCATCTCCCCCCAGCCTTTCATTCAGTGAGAGTGACTCCTGGAGGGTAGGGGTCCCCTGGTCATGGCTGGTTCTTCTCTGGGATAATTAGGAGACCCTCTCTGCGCACCCCTCCCTCATTTCCTCACCTTTCCACTTCCTGTGGGGAGCACCATCACCCAGACTGGGATGTAGCGGACTTATGGATAAGTGAGATATGACAAAAGCTGGCAAAAAAACAGACAGGAAAACCACCGTGGAGAACTGTGCTGCCCCCTGTGGGTCACTCTTGGCACCTGCCTACCGGCAAACCTCCAGCCCCGCCCTGCCCTGACTTGTCACCCTTTGCCAATTTTGAGCCAACCACAATCGTCGTGATGCCTGCCCCCCCCCCCCGCCGACCGTCACTGTACCCCCCCTATCCACGGTCAAACCGCCGCGTTGGAAGGTCCAAGTGGACAGATCACCCCCCGCCCATCGCGCCTCTGCCCCCGGCACGGGGCCGTTAGTAGCTGGGAGTGTTTAAGGGCCATGGTGGGGATCGGGCGCACTTACTGGGTGACGTGGGAGAAGTGGCCCCTCCCTCCGAGGTGGTGGATGCGGGTTTGGAGTCGGGTGGCAGCGTCAGGCGGGGCATGGCGGGGTGCGGCGGGGGGGCCAGCATCTGCGAAGAGATGTAGTGGCTGGGCACCTTCACCTGGCCGCTACCGTTCAACTGCAAACCAAGAGAGAGCACAGTTCAGCTGGGGCACGCCCCTCTCTCTCTCTCTCTCTCTCTCTCTATCGCTTTTTATCTTTCCTCCCCGTAAGCGACGCTGCGGGGGGTCAGAGCGTCCACTGGCCCTTTGGCCTGGGCCCCTTTTTTATATATTTTTCACACCCCCCCCCCTCATCATTTTGGCTTTAGACAGCCATGATGTTTTGGGGGGTGACAGTTTAGGGTAGGGGGGCAGGGTTGTTGGGGGATCTCGATCACCCCCCCGCAGAACAGGGTGATGGACGGATGTGTCCCTTGGATACCGTGGGAAAAAAACCCCACTCCTTTAATTGGGAAGACATGGAGAAATGCTATCCAGTGCTGGGGGTCAACGGGGGCAACATTCGCAGTGAGGTATCACCCCCCACCAACTCGGCCCCACATCTCTGGGGCTCCTTGCAGACTCACACGGTCACTGCGGTTTTTTGGGACAGTTATCCATGATGAAGAGGACCCAGCACCCATGCCCAGTGCGCGTGACGTTGCTGCCATAGAGACGGTACCGGCGAGTGGCCGGTCGCTACCATCCACCCTTCATCAGCACCACCCTCCCCTCGACAGCAGCTGGCCAGCTTACAAGAATCACATTCAAGCCCGATTGTACACGGCAGGCTGGGCTGATAAGGTCAATGTCACCCTGCACTGTGACAACTGTCACCGATGGTTCACTGCAAGATGTTCAGGCCATAATCTCGGCGCACATGTAAGCACGTACTACTCTGTGTTCAGCTCACTTCTATCCCTTCAGGTGAAACAGCCAGCGAGATGCATTGACTCTCCGTGCACTCGACGCCCCCCCCGCCCCCCCGCCCCAGGGGAAAACATGCCACGCTGGGTCACTTGCTAGCACACCCAGAAAATCCAGTGCGACCTTGTGCTCAGGTAGCCATACCAACCAGACAACAATGAAACAAAATACATAAATGGGTCATGTGACCAGAAATGAGGTCACATGGCACAAAAGATCATTCCAATGTAACAACAGAAGACATCAATGACGCGATAAGCTAGAATTAAAATGTTAAAGAAATTAAAAGCCAAGAATGTTGTAGTTACATCACAGCACAGTGTTATGCTTTGATTAGGAGAATGTTTATTGTAGTGATTCAATGCAGGTTAGGGGAAGTTAAATAACTGAAGAACCTCTGGTCAACTCCCAGCTCAATTATGGTTGGCTCAAAACTGTGCTTGGTAGTAGTCAGGGCAGAACAGTCATGGAGGACAACGGAGTTATTATGACAACCAATAGACCCTCCACTGAGCCGGGGGCGGGGGTTAGCAACACGCAGTACCACTCCTCACAGCCAGGGGGCAGCAGAAAGCACTCGTTCGCACGCACGCTCACTTACTCCCTCACTCACCGGGCCGGGCTGCTGGCTGGAGGGGTCGCAGGCCAGGGACACCAGGTCCTTGAGCGGGTCCTGTGAGCTGAGGTGCGGCGGGTAGCGGATGGCCGTGTGTGGGAAGTAAGTGGAGGCGGCCTGGGGGAGGATGGGGTTCGTAGGGAAGTGCAAAGACGAGGAGGGATGAGGACTCCTGGAGATGCCTGCAGGGATGGTGGTTGAAGAGGGACACACAGAGCAGGTCCTTTACCATAATAATTACATAACATAACAGCAGTACTAGTTAACTCTTTAGGCGACAGGCCAGCCTAAGGTGCCAACTTCAGAGTCAATTTCACTTTGTGCCAGATGGGGGCGCCAATGGTGAACCTTGCCTAAAGCACCACTTGGACTTTGACCAGTACTGGTAATGGACAGGATAAAGGCTGTATCACAAATACATGGAAAATGACTGCCGTTCTGATCATTATTACGTCTAATAAAGCTAAAAAAAAGGCACGAGATGGACAGCTGTAACACAGCAGGCCTCCAGCTACCTACGAACCGACGCTGTGGAATCAGACGGACGGCATCCCAGTACTGGCTGCATATGGGGGGAACATGCGACCAAATGAAGGCGTGAAGGCTGCCATATCCCTGCTCCGCCTCCAGCGGGTCGCCGTTAGCATTTAGCCGCACAAGCACGGAGGTAGCGAGGCTCCTGCTCAAGGGCTGCCCCAAATCGAACGCCGTCTGGTCACAGGGAGGCGTCCCGCTAGCTGCCCGCCTTCTGTTAGCACACCCGGGACAGCGCTGTCATTAGTCACCGTCACTTCTGTGTTGTTGTTTACGCGTCGTTAGTTGCTTGGCTGCGGGGAAGCCCAGGATTTTACCGAAGCGGCCATGCACGCGGACGGCCGCAGCACAGCGAAGCGGCAGCTGCCTGGACCTGCCCTGGGGTCCTACACGACTTCACCTGTAACAGGACACCTTGAACCGCACCCATCCTCTCGGCGAGACAGATGACATGACAGGCATAGCTGCGGGAACTGTCACTGCGTTATCGTTACATTGTCGCGCAGGTGGTGTCTGTCTCCCCAGGGCCTGCTGCGAGAGGCCTTCTCCTGGCAGTCACTGCTTCCGATTTTGCCCTTTCTGAGGTTACTATGTCACTGGGGTTACTGTCTGTCTCAGATTTTATCTTACCGCAACCTCAATCCAGTGAAGTCCAGCACTGGAAGCTGGAAGGGAGCAAAAATGTGGACTGTCTGTGGGAGCCCCGAGAACTGAGTTGGAAAACACTGCCTTAAGGTAAAACAGCTTGCCGTTTTTTTTCTCCCTTCGGGGCTTCATCTTATTTTTCATGTTATTAATACCACGGTTTGACACTTTCTTGCTCCTTGGTCCCGTCTGCTAATTGCAAAATGCTTCACGAACCGGACAGGAAGTGACCTCACCCGCTGGTTTCTGGACACAAGAGGGACTGCTAGGTAACAGGAAATAGAGAACAATGAAGCAGAAATGCAATGTGAGCACTGTGGCTCTGGAGACCCACAGCTGCCCGCCAGACCTCTTGGGGGCGCTGGTGAGCGTGCATGGGCCGGCAACAGAGACTCACCACTGTGGACCGCGATGACCGGCCGATGGTGTTGCGTGAAGCTGAGCCGCGGGGAGCTGTCCTGGGGGGAGGGGCTGTCCATCTCTGTTTTCTTTACTGTGGGAGACATCCCTGGAGGTGGGGGGGGGGGAGGAGGGACAGGGGAGAGCATGTAGCATGTTACTTCGTGCTCCTCCTCACTGCTCCCTCTGCTGCCAGACGGCGACCTTCATTCTCTATTCATGTATGAACGACATATAAATATGTATCTATTTTTCTGAAGTTACTTACTCTCACACTATTTGGCACTAGCTGTCGACTGAGAATTTTGCATTCCTTGGTCTTGCCAAATATGTGTGCACACTGAACGACATTATGTTGTTCTGCATTAAAAATGTACCCCCCTCCCCCCAAATCAAAGCAATAGCATAACATGCCATCTTACAGTACGGGTAATAATGCTAACTGCACTGCTCGCATATGACCACCAGGGGGCTGGGGTCAACGGCGTACAGAGAAGACACTGATGGCACTGCAGAAGGCACGGGGGACCTTATTCTTAACCCAGTCCTCGGGGACCCCAAGACAGACCACATTTTTGCTCCCTCCCAGCTCCCAACACATCTGTACCAGGTATTCGGTGTTCCTGATTGGCTGAGAGCAGGGGGGAGCAAAAATGTGACCTGCCCGGGGGGTCCCTGCGGACTGGCTTGAGAAACACTGCTTAATTTCCTTCGTGTAGCAGGCTGAACGAGTGCGGTGCTGCACAGGTTAACGCAGTGTTAAAGGCAGACCCGTTCTGCTTAGCCTGAGGCTCGGGCCGTGGGCCACATCGGCTGCGTTTCCACGCCGCGTTCGAATGCTAATGCGAGACTCTGTGCAGCGACTCTCTGGCCCTCGTGCCGCCGTTTCTCGGAGCGAAACCCCTGGACACTCAGCTGAAAACCTCGTTAAGGAGGAGCTCATTACGGCCGTCTAGACAGGAAGAGAGCCAAGCGTGAGGTGGGCACAGTGAGTCTCCTGCAGGGGCTGCGGGACCGGGGCGGGGGGGGGCAGCTCCGGGTTTGGGGTCCCGCCCCTGCACCCCCCGCAATCCTGCTGAAGGGGGTGACATCTTCCCTGCAAAGCACTGTCTGTCTTTATGATGTCAGCTTTGGTGGCTGACATTCTAACTGTTTGCCTGTGAACCCCCCCCCTCCCTACCATGGGTTAAACTCTCCATCCTGCACCCCCCGCCCCCTACACTCTATGGCTGCCTCAATCTCATTAGCTTTCCTGCCACCAAACAATCTCATTACCAAGCTGCACTCGTGTACTGTATCCGCCCCCAACCCCCAAGTCTCCTGGAGACCCAGTCGATGCTCACCGCGCCCGGAGGGATGGCAGAGGAGGTTACACACGACCCGTCCATAGAGCGCTGCCAAAATGCGCGGCTGCATCGCGCTAACGCCTACCGAGGCAACGGCCGCAGGAAAACTCGGTGTAAAAGTCCCCTAAATGCCCCCTAAATTTACCGCTATGCCCTGGGAGCTTAATTTTCAGTTTGAGTTTCTTCTGAGGAAAAAAAACGAAGCTTCATAAATGAATTAGGACCCCAGGTTCAATTTAAGCAATGAGTTTCCAAGCCAAACACCCGTATTGGTTTTTTATAACGTCTCCTGAAATCCTATTTGAAGATACAGGGGGAAATTAAAGTGAAATTTAAGCTTGATAAACGCTGCTATTGTGCACCGACTGACTCCCTCGGAAATCTACTGATACCAGAAAAACACAATAAATCAGAAATGACAAGACTGAAATTTTCCAGATTTACTGTATGGAATACAGCCTGAGGCCTTTTGTGTTCTGGGTAACAGGGGCTGTGCAGAGAGCGATGAACAACTCAAATACCAAAAGAAGCCTTGCAGGGGTGCAGAGACGCTGCTCACAATAGGTATTCCTGGAAGGTCCGAATGACGAACGCGGTTCTGTAAAAGCCGCACCCCAGTTTACGAGCATCACGGCTGCATCCTGCTACCAGAGGAAAAACCAGCCTTTCGTGATTTTTAACAAACAGCTTCCCTGTTTAACCCTGGCCTGTGCGAGTCGTCCTACGACACAGGGACCACATTACTCAGCCGTTTGGCATTATAAACAAGCATTATTGGGGAATTGCATTGTGGGTAGCGGTCAAACCACAGCAGCCCTGGGCGGTGGCATGCTCACCTCCTTCCATCTCCTCCTGCCAGTTTCGGGAGCTGCTGGTGGGGGAGCTGGGCGAGGCATAGTACTCCCCCCCGGGGCTGGTGTCTATGTCGTCATCCATGGACCCTGACTTGTGCCTCTTGCTCCTGTATTTGAGGGAGAGGGGATGTTAAAGGGGTGGGCTGATGCAAAACGTATGAGGGGGCATTGCATATAATCACATAGTGACATAGTGTCACTCTTAAAGGGACAGGGACACTATTAAAAGATGTTGGAGAATTGTTGGCGGGTGGCCACTATGTTGGCTTGTTGCATGTGTTGGAGCATGCTGGCTTTGTGGTCACAGTATAGGTGCACAGAGAGAAAGGGTTGTGTCACGTTCGGAAGAAAAGACAATAATGTCAAATCGCCTGATTTGTTGCATTACAAATTCAGTCCACAGAATGACTTGTGGTAACACCAGACATTTATATGGCTAGGAATTGCCACTTAAATTCATTTTAGGGGGCCAGCAGCCCAACAGCAGTCTCACACCTTGGGCCCCAATACCATTCTGATAACCCTGCTGCAGATTACATCGTTAACCGAGACAGATTTCACTGACACATCAGAGTGCCTTGTGTCATGTGACTGCTGCTGTGTGATGGGGTGGGGGTGGGGGGAGGGGCTGTACCTACCCGCTGGAAGAGGTGCTGGGGAGGGTCCTCCTCATACCTATACCCGTGGGGTTGAGGTCATAGGCCAGGTGTCCCTGCAGCTCCCCGAGGGAGAAGTTGGGGCCAGCGCTTGTGACCACAGGAGCTGGAGAGGAGAGGCAACACATGGAGGTGAGGAGGAGGACAGGAGGGCAGGAGGGCAGCAGGACAGGGGGGTCAGGTGGACAAGGGGTCCTTAACCATAAATAACCAAACAAAGTTTTTTGATTGCCGTCACAGACTTTTATAAAGCTGAGTTTCCCCTTGTGGGGACTGAAAAATCACCTCAACAACATCAAAATAACAGGTTTTTATCAGAATGTGGGGAAATCTGGTCCCCATAATGCAATATATACAGAGCACATACACACACACACACACACACACACACAGGAACCGCTGCTTGATTTCATTGCCATCCTAAACATGCAAAACATGTTTACTTTGCATTTTGTTTCACTGGAACTTCCTGGTGTGTGTCTGTCTGTCTGTGTGTGTGTGTCTGT